CTCCTCTGCCCTACAATCGTAACTGGGAAGAGCACTCCATCCCTCATGTGGCAAGAAGCCATCATCATCCCGGTTTCTAAAGAAGGGGAAGATTGATCATTGCCATCAAGCTATCGACCTATTTCTCTCACAAGGTGTGTATGCAAAGTGCTGGAATGTGTGGTGAATCAGCTTTTGTTCTGGGCCTTAGGAGTGTAAAAATCTGTTGACGCCAATCCAACGCGGTTTAAGGAGAAACTGCTCAACCTTGGACCACCTTGTTGCGTTGTCAACCGCAATTTCTACATCATTCATCTCGACAGAACATTATGCAGCCATATTATTTGACATAGAAAAGACCTACGACACCACTTGGAGGAATTTCATTTTGCACTCCTGGGGATTGAGGGTTAAGGTCCTCCTATTCCTCCAAAACTTTCTATTGATAATATCTTTTCAAGTGGACATTTGTGACAGACTAGCACTCACCCTCTTGAAAACAGCATTCTCCCATGTGTCAGTGCTTAGTGACACCCTGTTTGTCATTACTGTAAATGATGTAGTGTTGACTGTGATGAGAATCACTGTCATTGTTTGTGAATGAATTTGCCATTTTTTTTGTTCAACCAGCAGCATCAGTGTAATCCAGAGGCAACTTCAACTGGTGCTCAACAAGCTCCACAAATGGAGAACATCAACAGAGTTTAAATTCTCTTCAGCTATTGGAGTGCATTTTTCCGGAATATACCATTTGCATAGCAATCCAGTCTTGTACTTGGGAGGAAATAGCTTCCATTTGCTGAATCTGCCTGGTGCCTGCGGTTAATGTTTGACAAATGCATCAAGTGGCATTTTCATATCCATAATCTACAAACTAGATGTGTCTCCCCCCTTAGTCTTCATTGTATGCTAAATGGTATGTTATGGGGAACTGACCACAATAGCATATTCCGACTATACAGAGCACTCATCTGTTCCGATTTGGATTACGGTAATGAAGTTAACGGCTCTGCAGCTTCCGCCACTCCTCGACCCATCAACATACACCACGTGGGTATCCGCCTCCCAACAGGTGCATATCACACCTGCCAAATAGAGAGCCTTCTAGCTGAGGCTGGGAAGCCATCCTCAAAAAGAAGGCAGGATATTTCTGTATTGGACTTCAGTCCATTTATAAATAAATAAATAAATATTCTATTAATGTCTTATGGTGCTAAAGTGTCAGTTCATCATACACATAAGTCATTACACACATTGCTATTTCTCAAAAGATGCATTTCATTACATACAAATCATGCCTTCTCCATTCCCTTATATCTAGTAATTCATAATTTTCAACACTACAAGATTTAGTAGATTTTTTGCTTGCCTTTTGAATAAAACCAAGTTTCATCCAAAAACCACAAATTAATAGAGCCTTCAGCCTTCAGTTTCATATATTCCATTTAAAAGTCAGATCTTTCAATAACTATTATCATTTCTTCCCATGCAAATATGAATAAATTACTTACCATTCTTGTACATTGAATAAATAATGCGCCTAATCAA